AAATTTCCAATTTTTTTTAAAAAGACGACTGCCTAAGCCAGATACAGCAGAAATATGAAAATGATTAAAAACAAAAAACCTTTGAGATTGCTTTCCTGTTGTCCAGCAGCAGGTTTGTAGGTATGGGTTTGTTTTTTTTTTTCTCTTTCTCTCTCTTTTTTTTTTTTTTACAGATGGATGGGTATACGTGTGAGTGCTACAGTCAAAACGTGATTAGAAAGTAAAATGAAATCATGTTTTCTAATGCAGAAACTGACAGGCAATATAATGTCTGGCTGTGTTTACAAATTAGCACCAGGGCTGCTGAGATAGAAGATTTTGCAATCCTTACCAAACACGGGCATTACCATTTAAAAAACTATTACTTCCTTCTCTAGTCTTTGTCCAACAATAATACTGATTCGAACATTTTCCATTCTGTCTTGGATTTATGCTCCTGTTAATTGTGCCTGATCGCAATGATTCCGGGTGGATGGTACTAAGTTGCTTTATTACAGGTTTTATTATACTCCATGCTCTCATTTGTAACTTGCCTAAAGTGCTTCTGGATTTAAGTATAATTAAATTGAGAAATGTTCAGAAATGACTACTGCTGCAGTTCTTGTGTTTTAACTATATGGGGAAATATGATCCCTTTATGCATGCACCCTAAACCCATAAAGTAAATGTAGTGTGGCATAATACTTTTATTTGTGTTATTTCTAGACCTTGTCCATATAGGGAAGACTGTTAACTTTAAAACCCCACTGAGATATTAATGATTAAATAATTTTCACTATTCATTTGAATTTCTTAAATATTTAGCAGTCATTCTTATTAAAGGTTAATTGTTGCAGCAATAGAAAAAATTGAAAACAACCTTTTTCTTGACCCAAATTCCTTTGAAAGATTTTTATCTTGAAAGGTGGGGGAGGGAGAAGGAGGAGTAGCAACTGAGTTTTCTTGTTTTTATTTAATATTCCGGTTGACTTTTCCTACTGAGCAATATCACCAAGAAGAGTGGTTATACAAGTATTAAGAATTCACATCAGCCACCCTGGAATTTTTGCAAAGTAGAGCAATTCTAATTCATAGTAGTTCGAAAAGCTTGCAACATTATTTTGCAATTCAATTATTTCCAAAGAGCAGGCAAGGAAAAGGATTCAGAGACTCTAGGAAAGGGAACTAAAGTGATTCTAACTTCCAGTTCATTTTTAAATTGCTGTTATAAAATATAGATCCCCTCATTTTTATTTCTAAAAATGCACTAAGCTATAAAGGCCTGTGAGTGTGACCTCACACACACACTGCGTACTAAACCTTATTGCTTACAAAACCTCACACTGGATCAAGTGCCCACTTTCCTACTTCCCATGCAAGGGCTGCTAAACACAAGCAACAAATTTCAGCGATTAACTGGGCTAAATGAAAGATGTAATAAATTTCCTATTTTCCTATGGAACTTAAATAATGTTTTAAATTCACCAAGCAAGCAGGTAAGTTCATTTGACCATTTTCCTTACAATCTAATGTAGTAATCATTAAACTGTCAACGGACATACCGCTGTAATATTTGATGCAGTAATTTGAAATAGCATTTTAACAAAAATCACATCCAGATACATTTCCTCTCTAAAGAAAAGCAGCTTTAACAGAAGCCTTTACAGCTTTCATAAAATTATTGGCTTGCTCTAATTCCATTTCAGGAAGGTTGTGAGGAAACCATAAATATAGAATTAAAGCAGAGATGCTGTTTTAAGTTTGATTTCAAAAAGTGTTTTCATATTATCAGTAGCATGGTTTGCATTGTAAATAGTAAATGTGCTAATGCCATGCTTATTTAGAAATCATTTTAAACAGTGCTTATTGATAACTGAATTAGAACTCAACATATTACCCAATAGTCTCAAAACATTTAATTTAATATGGGGTGTAGCAGGTTCTGAGAGGCGTTGGGAACTGAGCTAATGATTTATGAGGTCACACTTAGCACCCCTAGGAAGAGAAGAAGGCTGCATTTTAATGTCCCCCTGCTTGGATTTGCTACTTACTTTTCTTTAATCAGAATAGGGTGTAGGCATAACTTCTAGATTTCACTAGTGCTTATAAAAATCTGTTTAAAATGATCTTAGTATGTCTTTTACACTTTCTCTTACATTTCGAGAGCATTTAATAAGTTCTTTTGGTTAATTTAACATCTTTCTCAGAAGGAGAGATCCCCACACCAGACTCAGAGGTGGAATTAGATACACTCGGCAATTGAAACATTTTACTGTCGTTGAGAGGGGAAGATATTGTGACATTTGCCTGATTTATTTGTGCTGGTGGAAATGGTTCAGAAACAATTCAGCAGGCATTGTTTGAGGGAGCTCCAGGAACCATTGTTCTGGAGGCAGAACTCCAAACTACTTTTTTAATTTCTTAATTTGGTTGTCTATGTGGCTCTTAACGTCCTCTTCCCCAATAAAATAAAATGGTTTTAAAAGGAGACATCATTGAGGAAAACCCCCGGCCCTCTAGCCCCCCCCCCGTTAAGTTCCCCACCTCTTCTCTAGGGGTAGGTAAGTGGGGGCTGCATCCCCTCTCGCGCGGCCCGCACGGCCTCTTACCGGGACATCCTCAATGGCGTGAGGTAAGGAGTGGATCGGTAGGTCTCCGAGTCCTGAGCCAAGCCCGTGTGGGCCGTGCAAGAGGTCCTCGTGCCGCCGGTAGTCCCTGCGAGGATCCAGGCCTGACAGCTGGTGGGGCAGCCCCCGGTGCGTGTGCAGGAGCCCAGATTCCTGGCTCTGCCTCTGGCCGGGCCAGCCTGGGTGCTGCGGCTGCGGCTGGGCATGCAGGGGGTTCAGGCTGTAGGGGTCGTTGACGTGGGAGTAAGGATCTTGCGACTGAGGGTAGATAGGCTGGTAGGGCGGGGGAAAGTAGGGGGGCTGGAAGTCGGCATTGGGGGTGTGGGACAGCGGCGGGGCGCTCGTGTAGGGAGATTGACCTACAGTGCCCAGCTGGGGCAACCGTGCCGTCCCGTTGCTGGTGCCGTCGTGACGGTCCTGGAAGAGAGCAAGAGGAAAGGGAAAGACGGTATCAGGCGGAGAGCTACAGCTGTCCCCACAAAATCACTCGGCAAGGCTGCGTGGGAAATTGCCCGCTCCCGTCATCAGGCCGCAGGAAAATTAAAATCAGCTCCAAGTTGTTCATTTCAGAAAATACCCCAGAAATGAAATAGGCCCTTCCAAAAAACACAGAGAAATTAGACTGTGTAAATGTAGAGGCATAAGAGATTTTCTTTAGGCGTTTCTTTCAAAGGGGGGAAAAGATAGAAAAAGGTCTTCTGGAATACAGCCGGTTGAACTGCAGCGTAAAACCTCTTTTAAGCCACATTAAAGTTCCTACTAAATTTTAAACTGCAGAAGAGGCCTTTCCCTTTCCCCTGGATTTGAACCTGTCTGCCACTGCGTTATTGTTTACTTTGTTTCATTTATTTGGAGAAAAAAAATCATAAACATTCTTCAAAGATTATTACCCTTTCATGATTATTTAAATAAAAACATATTTTGCAGGCTGTAATGAAAACACATTTAAATTACCAGCTTAAAGAAGGTTTTAACTGCAGGATGGGGGTCTGTCTTTTCCGCTTCCTCAGTTAGGAGGCTGTTTCTCGACAGAGTCGATTTATGATACGGACGAGGAGAGAGGGACGTCAAGTCAAGGTTTAAAATAGAAAGATTCAGCCTTAGTGGGTTCAAAAGAGAAAGGTGCACCCCTAGGCTGAGGCCCCCGCCCCTTCCACCCCAGCCCCAAAGGGCAGAAGAAACGCCTGACTTTGTGTTCCTCTATTGCAATTCGCTTGCAAAACAAGCGAACTGTGTTGCTTCCAGGGAATTCGAACCCTCGGAGGTTCAGCCACAGGCCCCGAGGGTAGGGGGCACACCGGGCTACAATTTTCCTGCAGACAGACTAAGTATCAAATGTTGAGAACATCTCGGGAGCAAGTGAAGACTCGAGGAAATAAAGACCGACGTAGCGAGAAACACGCCTTGGGAAGCAGCGGCGAGGTAGGTCTGCGTGCGCGGAGAGGTAGAGCGGGGACTAGGGGATGGCAATGCATTGGATTTAGGTATGGAAAGGAACGAGAGAAAGGAGGAAAGAGGGGAAATGCAAATGGAGGTGGTGTCCTGAAGGAAACCGAGGCAAGAAACCCGAAGTCTCGGGCAGCTCCGCAGCACCAGGTTTCCAAAATAGAATTCCTAAGGAAACAGGGATGGGGGTGGGGTGGGACTCACCATAGCTGAAAAACTGTGAACTAACATCTGCGAAGAGTCTGGGGTAACGAGTCAGGGTGGAAAAAAACAAGCAAGCCTGGAGCGCCCGGCTGCCCCGCCGCCCGAGCGTGCCCCACACAAAAGGCGCCGAAAGCCCCGCGCCACCCAGGACTCTGGTCACGGCGCCGATGCTCCCCCGAGCGCGGGAGCCCGGCTCGGATCCATCCGAACTTGAACCACCGATTCGCGCGGCGCCTTCAGCTGGTCGAACCCACGGTCTCTATCCTGCCGTGACTGGTTATGATTCAAAGTTCTTTAAAAAATGAAAAACCCCCAAAAAGGAAAAAGTGGTCTGAGTGTGTGTGTGCGTGCGTGTTCCTTAATCCGTGTCTCCCCCTCTTTTCTTAGCGGCGGCTTCGCTTGAGCTTCTAATAACCGCGCTGGGCAGCGTTCCTGGAGCCTCCTAATAGCAGATATTCATGACTATTAATATTACACGAATACTTAATAAGGGAAGAATGCCTGGAAATCGAGCGTGAAGCGGAGAGGCAACTCGCGCCGGAGCCGGCTCTCAATGCAGTCCATTGACGGGAGTCTCAGTGTAGCAAATCGGAGGTGGGGAGAGGGAGCGCGAGAGACAAAAAGCGGGCGAGAGAGGGAGCGGGCGAGCGCGCGGGGGGCCGCGGCGCGGCGTCTGGCGAATCACAGGGAAGGGGCTACATTTTAAAAGGTTGCAGGGCATGCAAAAGTGAAAGAGAAAGAGGGAGAGAGGGAGACCAAGGGAGAGAGCGCCGAGAGGGAGAATGTGTCTGCGTGAGTGTGTGAGAAAGAAAGTGTGGGCGAGGGAGAGGAGCCGGGAGTAGGGAGAGAGGAGGGAGGAAGGAGGGAGAGCCCGAGAGGAGGAAGGGAGGGAAAGAGGGAGGGGAGGAAGGGAGGGGGGAGGGGAGGGGGCCGAGCCGGAGCTCACGGAGGGGGAGGCCGCGGGGGAGGAGGAAGGGGAGAGGAAGCGAGCGCGGACAATCAGACCTAAAAGGCTGAGGCAGACCTCGGGATGCGGCGGGGGTCGTGCATAGCGGGCAGGAGCTGCTGGGGACCGCGTCTGGACATTCACAGGGCTCTCCGCGCGGGAGGCGCTTCCCGGCCCTCTCCGGCCCGGGGCTCCTCGGCTCCGCAGCCTGGACTCGGACTCCGGACTCGGCTGCCCGCTGCAACGCGGCTCCTCCATGACCCGGCACCCCTCCCAGGAGCGGCCCGCCCGCTCCGCTGGCCCTGTCCTCGGCCTCCTCTTGAGCTTCCTTCGGACACTAGGGCAGTGCCCTCCGTGGCCGCTGCTGCTCTGCCCTCGGCTCTCCTGAGCCGGGAATCGGGGAGAGGGGAGCCGGGATGCGGCCCCGGGCGCGCACAGACGGGAGGCGGCCCAACCCGGGCGCCGCCGGCACAGGCTCGGGCACCCGGCACAAACCCGTCGGACTGGCTGAACCACTCCCGCCCGACGCCCCCCCAGATGACACGGCTAGCTCTCCCGGCGCGCCGCCGCTGCCAGTCTGCCCGCTGGGTTGTCGGAACAAGCGGCTCCTCGCCTCCGGCGTGTCGCTGCAGAGCCCGGCACAATCAGACTGCCCCAAGCCAGCTCGGAAACCCGAAATCCCAGCTCTGGCGCAGGCTGGCCGCTGCCAAAGTTGTTAGAATAGCCTTGACTTTATTCGCCTCTTCCTCTCTTCTCTTATCTTTTTGGCCTCACACACACGTACACACAAGCCCTCACAGGGTCCCTCCGGGGAAGCAACTTCATCTCCCACGACCCCTCCCGCGTCCTGTAGGTGCTTAGAGACCGGTGGAGGTCCGGACCCCGCCTGCCCAAGGCGCCAGCACCTGGAGTTGGATTTCGGCCTCTGCCGAAATGCCAGAGCCTTGGACCAAAGCTCAAACCGGCACACTGTGAAGAGACTCGGTTTCATTCCGACTTGCCCGGCCCCCACTTCCCAGCTTCAAAAACAAAGCGACCGGTCTGACGTGGGGTCTTTCAGCCCCTCCCCACGTGCGACAGGAGCCCCTAGCGAAGCACCAGTACCCGTGGGATGTCACCCCGAGCCTCATCTACAGTATTGGGGGGTGGAGTCGAAAAGGGGCCTAAAAGGAGAAAGATTTAAAATAGTCTAAAGAAAGAAAAGGGAGGAGGGAACGGGTGACACATCGTTCACATAAACCCAGTTTCTGATTTCAAGAGAAGTCGAGACCCCCACCGCTGCGCCAGTGCACAGACCTCTCTCCCTAACATTCCCGGCCCCAAATGCTAAAGGAGAAAAAAATTCCAAAAGCCGAAACTATCATCTATTCATTTAGATAATCTGCCTTCCCACACCCCCTGCTTCAGACTCCGGGCTCATTTCAGTGCGAGTTGTAACCGTTCCCAGCGCCTCCTGTGGGCGGACTGGTCGCGCAAGGGCCTCCGCGGCTGCCCTAAGAAGCCGCGCTTTGGAGACCTAGGATTTTAAAATGGGTTCCAAAGAGGCGCACTCTGTGCGGGTCCCGCTCGCGGCACCAAAGGTGGTCCGCAGCAGCGCCAGTATTCCCACGGTCGCTCTGTGCGGGTGCAAGGGCTGATCTCCCGCACTCCGCCACCAGCAGGCTCTGCGCAGCACACACTCCCCCGCACACGTATATACACCGCTTGGGCTACTTGACCCTGTACCTCCGAGGGCGAAGCTGCCTAGAACTTCTTGAAGCACAGAGGATCTGGAGCAAGCCCCACAACCGAAATCGGTATCCCGAAGTTGAACGCTTATAGGGAACTACAACCCAGCTCAGAGCAAAGTGTTTGGTCCCTTCTCCAAATCCGGGAAAAGAACCTCCCTTAGAAAGAAAGAATGAATGAATAGAAGAGGGAACATTAAAGATGAGAAAGGAAGTTAAAGAGGAAAAGGGTTTTTCTCTTTCCTTTCTCCTTTTGGTGACTTGGGCCCTCACAATCTCGCTGAAGAGACACGCGGAGTGCACAGGCGCGCGCCAAATTGCCAGCAATTGCTTCAAAACCCCTTGCTTGTCTCTTTGCTCCACTGTCAGGCACAGCCAAAATTGATCAGAAAAGGGGGGTAAAGTAGGACACGGGCTTCGAAGGAGGGAAACGAAAGAAGGGAGCGTCAACATTCTCCCTCTCCAACGTTTCTCCCCCGCGTTTTTCGGGCGAATCGGAGGGGCGGGCGCTGCGCTGGGGAAAGTTTGTGCCACCCGCCTTTCGCAGCCGGCTACGGGGAGAGGAGGAGGAGAGGGAGGGTCGAGCTCGGAGGCTGTGGCCGCAAGGATGACTGAGCCGGCGCAGGGCTTACCTCGCAGTCCTCGTACTTGATATTATCCGTCAGTTTCCAAAGCATTTTCATGGATCGCGGTGAACCAATATGTCCCTCTCCGCCTCGCACCCAAGTGGAGCTACTCTCTGGGTGAGCGCAAAGTGCCGGCTGCAGGCGGTGAGCGCAGGAGGAGGAGGAGGGGAAGGGCGAAGAAGAGGAGGAGGAGGAGAAGGACGAGGAGGAGGAGAAGGAGGAGGAGGGCGAGGAAGAGGAGGAGGAAGAGGAGGGCGAAGAGAAGGGTGAGGAGGAGGAGAGAAGGGAAAGAGCTCCCGTGTGCGCTCGGAGATCTCCCTCTAATGGTAGAAACTTTTCCCTTTTCCAGCTCTTTACCAACAGCCTAATCGCCTCATTAGCATATCAACAATAGTCCAATTGCTCGCCAGTACTACAATCTGCCGCTGGCCGGTCTGATCCAGGTATAAAGGCCTCTCCAAGCCGGGAACTTACTCCGAGAGCGCACGCTTGCTTGCTAGCTAACTAGACCTTCCCGGAGCTCCGCTGCGCGCCCCTGCCCCCAGCGTCCCCCAACCCAATTCCACGCCACTCCCTTCCCCCCTCTCTCTCTCCGCTGCCTTTTTGCCAGAAAAGCCCTCTGCTTAAGCCAAGCACTGCGCAAGGTCCGAGCGGCCACGCCTGGGGCCTGGCTTCTAGCATTTCTTCCCTACCCCTGCTGCCACTATCCGAGCTGCCCTTTTGGCCCCGTGCAATTTTATTAGAAATCATTATCCCTTTCGCAATTAAACATAACCGCCAAACCAAGACCGGCGAAGTCACTCCAGGATTTTTGCCCAACAAGAAATCGCCTCCGCTTACAGCAGCCACCCCCTCGGGCCCCAGTGCCTTGGGAGTTTTATTGGCTTTGCGCTTTCCCCCAGGTTGGAGATTCTGCCAAACGGCTTCGGTGGCTCGGCTGAGGTTTGCGATCCCTTAATTGCGGCGTGTAAAATAAAAGTTGTATCCTGACGAGGTTACTATGACAGTTCCAGGGGTTAAGTGATTTTCCTACCATTTGTATGAAGCTAGGCCAACTGACAATTCAACTTGGTTTTCGGGCTAAGGTTTTCTGGGTGGATAGGAATACAGAACTCCCGTGGAGACGCACAACCTCTTTTGGAGTTGAGTTGCAATAGGCACATGTGTGTGTTTGCAAGCCTAGATACCGTCTCATACATGCATCAAAATAAATCACTGGGAACCAAATCTTAGCTGTGTTAATCTGCTCCAGTTTTCCCAAGATTCCCCTTTTTAATTAAAGCAGGAAGAGTTCCTTCATGATTTGGAGATGTTACCAACGCGGGCGCACTCGCGGCTCAGAGCCCGGCTAACGCGGAACCGGGAGGCCCCGGAGCCACCCCCTCGTCCAGGTTGGCCTGTGCAGGCTCTCCGGCTCCATACAGGGGCCTGTTCGTTCTGCCCAGGTTCTTTCCCTAATGTTTGCGCGATTTTTTAAAAGAAAGATAAAAGAAGACCTAATGTGCTATTTTAAAATACAAAGTAATTAATTTCTCTAGCCAAGCTTCCTCGTTTGTTCTCCAAAAAAGTTTCTATCCTCTTTTTCTCCCTGTTAAATGCTGCAAACTCCCTGAAACACTAGATCTTGCCTCAAATTTGCTCTAGGAAGGACCTCTGATTCATCTAGGCCTGTTTCCCCAGGCCTCACAGGTTTCCAAAGAGAAACTCATTCCCACAAAGAGATAAAATATGTTGCAAATTCCGGTGTTCACTAACAGGTGGAAAGTAGGTAGGAGGACGGAGGACCTCCCCACACGCAAAGCTGCAGGAAGGCAAACATCCCTTTAGAAGACCTCTGCCAATTCTCCAAGCTAAGAATAATAGAACAAAGATCCTCAAAAAGCTAGGGAAAAGCTAGAGGAGTCAAGGGGCTTCAGACCTGGAGGGAAACCCTCCCTACATACTGGGCACTTCCTTTCCCTAACCCATAGGTGACCACAATTCCTAGGCCGAACTCAGGCTCAAAGAAAGCTCCGCCCAGAAAATGATCAATTTCCAAGGGTAGAACCCTTTGGGGCTGCCCCATTGTGGACAGCTCATTGACTTGAAGACAGAAACTGGGCCCAAAGGATGAACACCTTTCCAGCAGCAGCTACAACCTGAGTGTGTCCTGTAGGCCAAACAAGGCCTGAGAGCATGAGTTTTAATACACTGCCGACTTCGCCACAGTGAGCAAAGTTTCACTTTCTTTCCTTATGTTTGTGGGCAGGTGTTGAAGTCCCTTCATCCTCTCCAACCCCATCTCAACGTTCCTTAACCAGTTTTGACAGCCCCAGGACCCAAAGAACGTTGGCTCCACTATAGCCACCGAGGCTAAACTGTTGTTGTATTCCCGCCGAGGGCGCCATTGAGGTGCAGATTGAGACCTGCGGGCTCTGTGCCGCCGCCTGCGGTGTGGGCGCTGATGAAAGACCTGGGCCAGCTCTTGAGTCGCCCCTGGAGCCAGACGTGCTGAGTTTGTGTGAGCGTCATTACCAGGATAAGTCGCTTCATTGCATGTCAATGCTCTGGTCCAGCCAGAACCCCGGGATGGCAGCACCAGGCCTGGGGCTAGGGGTCTGGGATACGAGCCTGACTTAAGGGCACAGAAAGGGCGTCCGGGGAAGAGTATTTTGTGTGAGAGAGGTGTACACTTAGAGAAAGGGACAGCGAGGGGCCAAAAGGACGTTATTTTCCCTGATTGTCACTGCCCAGCGGGAGCCGGGAGTCTGAGAAGACCAGCACAGCAGATCCAGCCCCTCCGGGCCCCCAATCCGCGGGCCCCACCCGAGATCCAGGCCTCACGCCACTTGCTCAACTGTGAGCCCGCAGGAGGCAGGCCCGAGTCTCTCTCCTTCTCCCTTCCTGCCGCAATCTCCCAGCTATAAAGTCTTAGTTGGACCCACTGCAGGCCCAGTAGCAGACCGAATTCACCACTTGGAAATTTTTTCGTGAAATTCGTAGAGATTTGAGGAGCAAATCCCAAAGGCTGCTACCAAAGGACCTGGAGAACTTTCAGCCACCACGGAAGAGATTTAAGAGAGGTCTGAGCCTGAAGGGACAGAGAGGAAAAGATTTGGGTTCCCAGGATTTATGTTTGTGTGGAATTTGCATCCTTAAACCACAAAATTAACCTAATCTTGGGGATGAAATTGCATTTACAGAGGCTTATCTGGAAGGAGGGGAATATAAAAAGTTCACTTTTACAAATAATAAGTACAAGAGAAAAGAAGCCCCAAACGCAAAATTCTTTCCTTTCTTCTACTCCAGGAAGCCTAGTGAAGATGGGACTTCTGAACTTTACTTTTAATGCCCTAAATCTGAAACAAGAGAAAGAACTCTCTTAGAAGGAGCAGGGCCTTGGTCTTTCTTTGGAAAGTTCAGGGCATTTGGTTCAAACTGTTCCACAGCCTTTGAAGGGACACAGAATCTCACCCTAACCCCGTCTCCCTTGGCTGGGGCAAAACAGGGCCCAGCCATTCCCATTTTGAAATTGGCAACAGGAGGGAGGCTGCTACCCTCATCAACTTAGCGAGAACTGCCCTCTTTCTGGTAGCAAAAATGTGTGGAAGTTGAAAGGAGAGCGCGGGACAAATGCTTCTGTGGCTGGGGTCGGGTCCAGTGCTCAGTAAGAAGAGGATCCAAGCCTAGAGAGCCTGCGGCCTAGCAGGGCCAAATTTGACAGGCAGCGATTCTGGCAAATTCGGGACGGCTCAATCCCCATCATTCACACCTATACCCATTCTTAGCCCAAGCGCGGAAAATGCACGTCAGGAAGCAGACTAAGTTGGTAGCTAAACTTAGAGCAAACTCTCTTAAGTATCTCCCAAAGGAACATGCTCACCGCCGCGACCCGGCCATCCGGACCGTACCCCCTTCCATTCTCCACATACTCTTGTCCCCCAAATCTGCAGACACCAAAAGAGACAGGTGCACCAGAACCGCACCCCAACGCGCAATCCAGGGGTCTAGGGCGAGGCCGAAGGCGCAGTTAGCAGGAACTTCCCACATCTCACACACAGCTCCAGCCCTTCGCCCTCCCCTCTCTTGAATTAGTCATCCACCCAAGTTTCTACTTGAGGTGAAAAGGGGTGGGGGTGGGGTAACGGCTGGAGCACAAACCACAAGTGACCCCCGGGCCACCTGTGGAGCGTGCGCGGGACTTTCCCCGGCTTGGGGCCCCGCGGGCGCCGCGCTTTGCCCCCAGTGTTGCGGCCACTGTCTGTCTTCGCTCTCTCCCGGGAGCTCTTCTGGGCGCTGCCAGATGCGCCTCACCTACTACTCCCCTGCCCTGGGCCACCGCGCTTCCTCTCCTCCACCCGCTCTCCCGCCCCCCTCCCCCACTCCACCCCCGCCCACCTCAACCCCAGGCAAGGCAAACCCCCGTACCTGCCAGTCCCCCATTTTGGCAAGTATGGACATCGCAGTTCGGCGCTCCTGGCGACTGGTTACCGCCGGGCATGGGCTGGAAGGCTCGGCCAGGCCCGCTCCCTGGAATCGCCTAGGCAAATTCTCCTTTTTTACCTGCTCACCAACATCTCACCTGGTCATAAAGAGCTGGGTTGCTACCTGCCGACGCATGCGCGCTGGCCCAGGAATTCACTCCGCCAGCTGCAGTCCCAGCACCTCGCGGAGCTGACCTGGGAAGTGATGGATTTATAGCCGCGGCAATCTTGCCATCAGCTCCAGTTTTTCCCAACAGCTCCAACCCGCTTTCCCGGTCAGTCCCTGTACGGGAAATCGAAGCGGACTGGCTGCGGAGTGTCCGGGGTGCCCTGCGAGTGTGGTTTCGCACTGTAGGGATGGGGCATCTACGCGCTTATTCCACGGCTCTCCTCCCCTCGGAACTTTGGGGTTGGGGGAGTCTCCACTGAAGGGTGAGGGTCGGAGGTTGGGGAACAGCAAGACCCAAGGAAGGGGCAGACCTGAGCGTTCCCACGCACCTGGACGCACGCAGAAGGGCCAGGTTGCCGTCCCCACCTTCCACCCGCCCACGAGGTTTAGGGACCTGCCAGCCTTAGCGGATCCTGCTACCCCCGGGGCCGTTTTGGCGATGGATTGCAGATGAAAGTATTGCTCAATATTGGCGACGTTCATGATCCTGTGTCATCTCTGGTTTTCAGGTTTAGTCTCCTCCCACCATAGAGAGCAAAATAACCAAATAACCCACACCTAAACTTCCTCTCTCTCTCTCTCTTAACACTTCTGTATAAAAGTCTACCCTTTCTTCCTACTTTCACAATTCTCTGCCCTTCCCCCATTCCTGTGTGGCTTCCTAGCTTCCTTTTCCATTAAAAACTTTTTAAAGCGAGAATGGAGTTATTGGTGGCTCTGGTATGGGCAACTGAGGTTTGGGCTAGGGTTTGCTTTCCCATGACTGATACAATCACTCAAGTGATTTCACCGCTGCTCTTAATTAAAGGGGAGCTTTTAAAAGGAGCCACAGGATTTGGGGCTCCTGAGCTCACCTCTGCCAGGAGCCACACCTGGCCGAGAAGGAGGCCAGGGTAAGATTTTCCTCGGGCCAAACTCATCCTGAGACCGTGCCAGCCCCCTTTTGCAGGCCACGAGATCGGATTGTCTTGGGCTTGGGCTTGGAATAGGCCTAGTTACCCTCCCAGGGCGACATCCTGGGAACTTCAAGACGAACAAAGCGCCAGTTTCAAATCATCTTCTCTGACATGTCAGGGAAATGTGTGTAAAAGGTCACCGCCAGGCTGTGGAGTAGAGGAGACATGTCCCTGAGACCAAAACCTACCTGCTTCTAATCCTGGGGTTCTGCCCAAGCAACTTTGCACCCTCCAGGCACTCTCAGGGATGGTGCAGTGATGACTCTTGGTGAAGTTCCCAAACCCTTCAGCATTTTAATTGTCCCTGGGCTTCAGGACTGCTGCCCCCATAATCAATTCTTTAGTTGGTTTGAAACTTTCTTGGACCTGCCTAGAACTTTGCTAAACAAAATGTTTGGGGGTGGGGATTGTGTGGGGGGGGTTGTTTGCTTTGTTTAGGTGAGAATTTAAATAAATGGCGTTTAAAACTCATAAGCATCTACACCAGACCTGGTCTTGTCCGGACTGTCCATATGAATGGTGAAAACCTAATTTTACAAGAGTCCAAGATACACGCAAAGGGAGCTCCTGCAGCTCTCCGAGATGCCGGCGGGGGGCGCTATGATCTCAGAATGAGCAGTGGTTTCAGGTCTGGAC